GTACCGAGTGCTGCGGAGGCGCTGACTGCTCCTGGGTGCTGCTGCAGCCTCTGAGCTCTGGATTTCTCTTCTGCTGGCCACAACTCTCTCTAGCCAGCCCAGTGGTGGTTTCCTGTGCTGAAAACCAGGCCCCTCCCCAGCTGCTTCAGTTGTTCACTCGCTGCATGCGGTGAAATCTGGGGGGGCAGAGCCCTGAGAAGGCGCTGGAGGGGGTGGCTCTGGCCCAGGGCAGGCACGGCTGTGAGACCTGTTTTTTCTCTCCTCTCCTTGCCCTTATGAGCCAGAACTCTGTGTAAGGGATTGTATTTTCTTTATTTATTTGTTGATTTTAATTCTTTGTCTCGTTCCAGGCAAAGAAATCACTTTGCTGATGCAGACGCTGAACACCCTGAGCACACCAGAGGAGAAACTAGCAGCTCTGTGCAAGAAATACGCTGAGCTGGTGAGTGCTTATGTCTTCGTTCCAGGCGCTGGGGCTGGGGGAGGACACTGCAGCAGTGAGCACAGGAGCCGCTTGAGGAGGCAGGAGACAGCTGTAGGTTTTGGGTTTTTTTTTTCCTTGATGTTGAGAGGGACGGTCCAGGAACACAGACAGAGCTTTGCTGTGTATGGTCCGGGATCTCTGCGGTGCTGGCTGTCCAGCTGTCAGAGGATAGGTGTTGCTTGGTCCAGCCAGGCGCTGTTGTTCGCAGAAGTGTGAGCGTGGACGGGAGTATTTTTGGCAAATCTGGGTGTCAGAGGCCTCCAGATCTGTTTTCTCTCTGCTCCTCTAACGTGGAAGCTGCATCTCTTGCCCATCCTCTCCTAGGAGCGTGCTGTGGCCAGGTCTGTTTTCTGCTGAGCCTGTGTGTCCCCATCGTGAGCTGGGAGCTGGCAGGCCCGGTGGTGACAGGAGATGGCACAGATGCGTCTGCCACCTCCGCCGCCCAGTCGCTGCGTTTCTGGCGATACGCTCCTACCGAGACACGTGCGTTTGGCAGAGCCACCGTGCCGCCGCGCGGCCGCGCGACACGCGCACAGCCTGGCGCCGCGTTTGTTCAGAGCTGGTTCTGGGCACAGGTCTAGTTCTGCGCGTGGATCTGGCACGGGGGCGTGGGACTGCCTGTGCGTGTCCCCAGCGGGCGTGTGCAGGTTCTCCCTGCGCTCGGAGCTCTGCTCCCCTGGAGCAACGCGCGCGTGGAGGTGCTGGGGTGAATGCGCCGGTCTTGCAGGTTCCAGGAGTGCAGGAGGGAGAAGGGCCCTGTCCAACCTTGGGCTCTGTCAGTCCTGCTCTGCTCAGAAGTGGCGTTTCTCACATTAACAAACCTCCTCTCAGAGCACAGAGAGCACTTCTTTGATCCCCGTGTCCCCTCAGCGGGGCACAGCACGTTGCCCTGGCCTGTCTTGCTGCAGCTGTGCCCTTTGCTCCCCTGTCCTAGCTGGAAGAGCACCGTAACTCCCAGAAGCAGATGAAGATCTTGCAGAAGAAGCAGACGCAGCTGGTGCAAGAGAAGGACCACCTGCAGAGCGAGCACAGCAAGGCCATCCTGGCCCGCAGCAAGCTGGAGAGCCTGTGCCGCGAGCTCCAGAGACACAACCGCACCCTCAAGGCAAGCGTCTCCTGGGCACCGCTCCAAGAGCTGCTCCGTCCCAAGCACTTGCTCTGAGCCGTTCGGGCAAACTGACCTTTACCAACGGTTGCCCGCAGCCTGCCGTCCAGGGCAGAGCTGTAATTTTACTGTTCAGTCGTTGTCCGCAGCGCCCGGGTGTTATTTCAGGGTGTATTCAGTGCAGAAAGGGAGGGAAAAGGCCCAAAGTCCTTCCTGATCGGTACAAGCGATAGCGGGAGGCCGGGCGGGTTCAGCGCATCACAGTTTGGGCACTTTGCTCACCTACCTGCCCAGCACAAGAGGCTGACGTGTCCCCGGTGTCTCTGCCCCCCCTCACGCAGGAGGAGGGTGTCCAACGTGCGCGGGAGGAAGAGGAGAAGCGGAAGGAGGTGACATCCCACTTCCAGGTGACGCTGAACGACATCCAGCTCCAGATGGAGCAGCACAACGAGAGGAACTCCAAGCTGCGCCAGGAGAACATGGAGCTGGCAGAGCGACTCAAGAAGCTCATCGAGCAGTACGAGCTGCGGGAGGAGGTGGGTCGGGGCGGGCGACCTGGCGGAGGGCTGCTCTGGTGCGTCCGTTCTGCCCGGTGAGGGGTGTTGCTGCTGTCGGAGGGGGGGAGAAGGGGCCTCTGGGCTGTGGGATCATCCCTTGGGGTCACTGCCGGAGCGTGCCAGTGACTGGTGGCGTTTCCCTTGGCAGCACATCGATAAGGTGTTCAAACACAAGGACCTGCAGCAGCAGCTGGTGGACGCCAAGCTCCAGCAGGCGCAGGAAATGCTGAAGGAGGCAGAGGAGAGACACCAGCGGGAGAAGGACTTTGTAAGTCTGAGAGCGGTTTTCTCGTGGTCGCGAGCGCTTTGCTTTTGGCCTCGTCCCTCTGTTGGATCCCCGAGTGCAGAGCCCAGGTGGGCTCAGGCCAGCCCAGGCCTCCTGCGAGCCCAGCGGTGACCGTTCCCCCGGCAGCTTCAGGAGCAAGGCTGGAGCCCTGCTCTGCTCTTCGTGTTTCTCCCAGCCCGTTCCTGTCTCCAGGCCGAGCGCCAGCCGTGCGGGGGCATGTTGAGAGCCTTCCCTGGCAACTGCTTTTGCTCTTCCCTAGCTGCTGAAGGAAGCTGTGGAATCGCAGAGGATGTGCGAGCTGATGAAGCAGCAGGAGACTCATCTCAAGCAGCAGGTGAGTTACCTGGTCTGGGTGCTCAGCCTCTTTATTTGTTGGGGTTTTTTTTCCTTCCTCCCTAAGCAGGGAACAACCCAAAGTTCCTGAATCGGGGAAACACAGGGGCAGGATTGCTCCTGGGTTTGGTAATGGTGAGCCTGTGTCAGCACGGTGTGAGCTGAGGCTTCCTCCAGCGATTCTGCCTTCTGGGAGAAAGCGGCCTTGGTTTTTACCAGCGCGTTTCCCAGTGCTGGGAGCAGTCGTGTGATCGTACTTTGCTGAGTCAGACCCAGCAAGTGCCTCCTGCCAAGGCCTGGAGATACTTGCAGAACACATCAGTGTCTGAGGATGTTTCTGTAGGAAAGAATTTTTCCACATTCCCCAGTACCTAATGTGGGCAGAGCAGCTCCGTGCTCCCAGTTTGTTTGTCGTAAAGTCCAGTCACGAGACAAGTGGCTCGGTTCTTGGCTGACATCTCCCCTGTCCCGGGGAAGACTTGTCAGGAGGTACCGTGGCGAGCGGTGAGGAGCTGTAACCCTGTCTCTCCCCGCAGCTTGCTCTCTACACAGAGAAGTTTGAAGAATTCCAGAACACCCTTTCCAAAAGCAGCGAAGTGTTCACGACGTTTAAACAGGAGATGGAGAAGGTGGGTGACGCTTTTGCTGCCCAGCAGAGCTTGCGTGGGCCGGAGGCACTGCCTGTCCGTCTCTCCACGATGCCTCTGCGAGCTGGCAAAGCCGCAGCTCTGTCATTGGGCTTTGCTGGTGTTAAAATCAGCCACAAGCCAGTGTAATCGTGGGTCGATACCGTCCTTGTGCGGTGGCTTTGTGCCCTGCCTGTGTCGGAACAAGCAGCGCTCCCCCCCGTCCCCTGGCTCGTCGCTGCCTGGTCTGTGTTTGCCACTGGTGAAGCCGACTGCAGCGGGACAAGGAGACGTTTGTCACCTCGCTGGGATAGCGGGTGCCCCTCCGAGGACGTAACTGGCTGCAGCGCTCTGCCTGTGGCTTATTTGTTCCCTCTTTGTCACCGCGGTTCTGTAGATGACGAAGAAAATCAAGAAGCTGGAGAAAGAGACCACCATGTACCGCTCTCGCTGGGAGAGCAGCAACAAGGCTCTCCTGGAGATGGCTGAAGAGGTGAGGAGGCTCTGGCTGGCCTGTGCTGAGGCAGGCGGCCGGAGCAGTTGGGCTGGAGGTGAGGGGCAGCAGGACGGCTCGTGTCTTACTGCGGGCGGGCTGGGC